AAAAAAAAAAAAAAAAAAAAAAAAGATCAGGTATGGGGGAAGCATGGAGTTGGTTTGAGGGATTTCCAGCAGTGGCAGAGGAGGGAGAGGGACAGGGACAGAAGAGTGTACTTAGGAGAGCACTCATGGTAATCACTAATGGACTCTAAACTGCTTAATGGGAGAAGGCAGGATGTCAGAGGAGCAAGTGACTGGGGCCAGTGGCTCACAGGCCGTGATGAGGTGGAAATTTCCTTGAGAGCTGAGGTGCTAGAGATGGGAGGTGGGTATGGGGCTGGGCCAGTGGTTCTGGGAATGATCCAGCTGTTGGCACATGAAACACGTCTGGAGTGTGACTATAGGTGATGGTTGAGATGGGGCAGGACCACGGAGGACAGTGGTGGGGAAAACTGGGGGCCGTGATACATAAAGGGCCATCTAAGTAGATACATGAGTCACCCCTAGACAGAGCCAGGGCCAAACCCTCCACCTTTGCCGTCCAGAGGGCTTGGGAGAGCCCCAGGTTTCAGGTGAGGGAGGAGGTGGATGTGCCCAGAAGAGGATGAGGATGTGGGGTTTGCTGTTGGAAGACCCAGTGGGGGCAGTGGAGGCATTTTGGGAATGGGAGCATGTCAGAAGGTGGCGCGCCCAGAGCCATGGGGGTCTGACAGGAGGGTGTGGGGATGGCTTCTGGTGGCCAGCTACCCAGATGGGGTGATGGGGAGGCCTCGCGCTGGGCAGAGGCTGGCGAGGGGTGGTCTTGCCTGGAATGGTGAAGCCCCGTGGCCCTGCCCTCAGCAGAGCTCTCTGGCACTTGTTTGCTGCAGCTACTTCCTTCTCCATGGCCACCCTGCCAAAGTCCTGCCCCCATCAGTCCCCCGAGGCAGCTTTGGTCAAGCCCACCAGTGGCCAAGTCTCAGTCCTGTCCTGGCACTGCTCTCAGCAGTGTGTGGAACTTGCTAAATTTAAGGTGTTGCTGGGACACACACTATTTCCTGTGCCACCAAAGGAGAGGAAATGAGGACTTCACAGCTCCCATGAGAGGAAGCTGGCCTTCACACAGTGTGGTCTGGGTATCTGGCATCACGTGCTGTGGTGACATGTCCTGCACGCCTTCCTAACCCTTGGGCCTCACAAGCTGTCATCTCAGCACCTGTGCGCTTGGTCCCCTCCCCCACCTCACTCTGCAGAGGCCTCCGTCCTGGGCTTCTGCCCATAGGCCTGTGTCCGAGAGGCCTTCCTGGTGCCCTGGGCCTGACCTCCTCTCTCTGCTGTACTTTCCCACTGCATCTGCCACCGTCTGTGTCTCCCATGTTTGTACACTCCTGTGGCCCCTCCAGAGTTTTAATAAGACTGAGCCCTGGATTTTTTTTTCCCTTTTAGACTTCCGTTCTCTAGCGCCTGAATATTACTTGCTTAGGTGCTTGGTACTGTTGAACTGATGTCTGTAACACTCGCTCCATCTTTCCGTAGCGCACGGGTGACACCAAGCCCAACTTCTTCCAGGACTGCCTGATGGAGGTGTTTGACAGCTTGGAGCAGCACATCCAGAACCCCCTCGTGCTGCAGTCCATCCTTGGCCTGATGGAGAGGGGTACCATGGTGCTGACCACCAACTACGACAACCTGCTGGAGATCTTTGGCCAGCAGCAGAACAAGCCCATGGAGTCTTTGGACCTGAAGGACAAGACTAAGGTGTGGACCATAGGCACAGGGAGGGTGGCAAGGAAGAGGCTCAGCGTGTTAGCCCTGCTGGGTGGGAGGCAGCCTTCACGTTTATAGCAGTGAATTGATAATGAAAACCACAGACCGGCAGCTTCAGGTGCCGTGTTCCCCTGGAAACGAGAGCCAGGTCTTGACAGGTAGTGCTGGTGTGTTTCCTCAGGGCAGGCTCATTAGAAATATGGGCCATAAAGAAAATAAAAGCATGGCTCGGCGCCTGTGGCTCAACCCGCTAAGGCGCCAGCCACGTACACCTGAGGTGGCGGGTTCGAATCCCCAGCCCGGACCCGCCAAACAACAATGACGGCTG